TTGAAGCTAGATTTATGAACAATTACAAGTAATATATATATAAATAACAATTAAAATGGAACAGTAATGCAGGCCATAGACGGGTCGAAAATCGGCTGATTTTTCAGCCGAAAAAAAGATCAGACAATTTTTCAGCCGAAAAAAAGATTGGCCGATTTTTCAGCCGAAAAAAAGATCGGCCGATTTTTCAGCCGCAAAAAAAATCTGTCGATTTTCGCACTGTTAATGGGTTAATTGGTCGCCCGTTTTTACTGGGTTTTGGCACATTTTTTTTATCGGTAAAGTTGGAAAAAAATTGGCTGATTTTTCCCGGCAATGATGGGCAAATCGTTTTACCGATAAAAAATCTGCGCATGAGCCGTGACCTGCAAGAAGAAGAAAAAGAAGAAAAGAAGAAGAAAAAGAAGAATCCAGTACACTATTATATTTGACATGAAAAAGTCTTGTGGTTTCAACAATGTATCTATTTGTATCCAAATAAAAACATCTGTATCCAAAATGGATACAAATAGATACATTGTTGCAACCGCAAGACTTTTTCATGTCAAATATAATAGCGGAGCTCTCTGCAAGGGACAGAAGTAATTAAATGCCAGCCGTAGACAGGACGAAAATCGGCCGATTTTTTTTTTTTTTTTTTTTTTTTTTTTTTTTTTTTTTACCACTGGTGGTAACGTCGGCCTATTGAACGACCGATTTTTTTTCGTTTTTTTTTTCATTTAAATGGACGGTTTTTGACCCGTCTATGGCCTGCATAAGTAACCGTGATGTGCAAAATGCTGTAATCTGTAGCGACAGTTTGAATTCAGTGTGCTGACCTTGCACAGATTTGATGTGACATTATGACAGTATACAGTCGCCTGGGTTGTATTAGGGCCCATCTATACATGTCATTTCAGCTATGTACAGTCATGATAACTCTCACTTTGATTGTTACTGGTTAGTACACTTTGATATGTGTGCTTAGATTTCTATGCTGAAGCTGTGGGTAGATTGAGGTCGTTCTTTATTTATCTCCGGCCATTGATTGCTGTGGATTTGAATTTGATTTTAAATGTTTAATTTGGGAAGTAATGTTATTTTTCCTTTTCTTTCAGTCTGCGGATGTGACCTGGCCCAGGGAGGATTCTTTGTGCGACAAGGAGATTACATTTGTACTCAGGACTATCAGAGGCTGTATGGAACCAGATGCTTCAGCTGCGATGAGTTCATTGAAGGGGAGGTGGTTTGCATTGGGAAAAACCTATCATCCTCGTTGTTTTGTATGCATTGTGTGCAAGTGAGTAAGGGGCCACTTTCCTTCATCAGTCTTAAGCTAGGTTCACACCTATGCAGTTTGCATTTGATCTGTTTCTGCAGTGCATTTTGCTTTACTGTTTGTGTTTTTGCACCTGCATTTTTGCGGTTTTTTTTTTGTTGTTGCTAGGCAGATTTAAAATGCAAAACGCATTACATGCTTTTTCTGCAGCGTTTACATTGAAGTCTATAGGACCAAAAAATGCAACTTTTTGCATTAAAAAAAGTCCCTGACCCTTTCCTAAAAAGGAACCGTGTGAAAATGCGGAGATGGGAACATTTCCCATAGGAAATAATGTTAAATAGACTAGTGCATTTATGTAAAACGCAAAACGCTGCGGAAAACACTTAGGTGTGAACTTAGGGTTAGTCACAAGAAGTTCAATGTACAGAGTTTGCTCAGAATTAACTGATAGCAATGTTTACAAGTTAATCTGAACTGGTCTTAAATGTTTTAAGACCAATACAGTGTCCATGGTGCCTGCAAGTTCTTGTGTTAAGCTGAGTGTAGCATCATACTGTAACAGTATAATGTACATGGATCAAAATTCGGCCAGTTCAGCAGGGACCAACTGAGTTTCAATCTATGTATGGGCACCCTGGTTGTACATACTGTAAGTAAATCCATCGATTGACTTGAGTACCACCAGCTATTTTTTTTTCCAAACAATTAATGCCACTGGCTGTAGCCAGCAACGCTAATCATTGTGTTCTGCCTGTAGGGAAGGCTCCCCTCCAGCAGAACACAGTAGCGCTGCAGAAGGATTTCCCCCATCAACACTGAATGTTGATGGGAGGATCGTACAGTTTTCTTTCCTTCCACCCGTGGTGAAAGGAAAGAAGCTTGCTCAATGTATGGCCTGTCTAAGTCTTCACATTGATCCCTTTATCTCTCCAGAGCTACCCTAGAATATATGATCATGGTGGTACATGGGGCCTTGTTTTTGACCAAAGTCAACATTTAGCCCCACATGTTCATGGTACTGAGCCCTTCAATGGGTAGTGAAGGCTAAAAGTGCCTGTTGCACTTGAAACCTTTTAGGCCAGGTCATTTTAAAGAAGAACTCTGTACTAGTAGAGAACTGCATGAGGTCAATGTATACTCTGTGATATCTCCCATCTTTTGACACTTCCAATAATAAAATGATAGGTCTTCAAAATTTCCTGGATAAGAGATACATATTCCTGCAACCGCAGGTGCCTATAGTAATAATACCAACACTGCGTTTGCTGTTATTTCTTGGGACCAGCCTCGAATGGGGTGTATCTTCTAGACACCAAGACTCCACATACAGTGGGGATCGAAAGTTTGGGCACCCCAGCTAAAAATTTGTATTAATGTGCATAAAGAAGCCAAGGAAAGATGGAAAAATCTCCAAAAGGCATCAAATTACAGATTAGACATTCTTATAATATGTCAACAAAAGTTAGATTTTATTTCCATCATTTACACTTTCAAAATAACCGAAAAAAAAAAATGGCGACTGCAAAAGTTTGGGCACCCTGCAGAGTTAATATCTTCTACTGCCCCCTTTGGCAAGTATCACAGCTTGTAAACGCTTTTTGTAGCCAGCCAAGAGTCTTTCAATTCTTGTTTGAGGCATCTTTGCCCATTCTTCCTTACAAAAGTCTTCCAGTTCTTTGAGATTTCTGGGCTGTCTGTCACGCACTGCTCTTTTAAGGTCTATCCATAGATTTTCAATTATGTTGAGGTCAGGAGATTGTGAAGGCCATGGCAAAACCTTCAGTTTACGCCTCTCGATGTAATCCCCCGTGGATTTCGAGGTGTGTTTAGGATCATTATCCATTTGTAGAAGCCATCCTCTCTTTAACTTTAGCTTTTTCACAGATGGCATCAAGTTACCATCCAAAATTTGCTGAAATTTTATTGAATCCATTTTTCCTTCTACTCGTGAGATGTTCCCTGTGCCACTGGCTGCAACACAACCCCAAAGCATGATTGATCCAACCCCATGCTTAACAGTTGGACAGAGGTTCTTTTCATTAAATTCTGTGCCCCTTCTTCTCCAAACGTACCTTTGCTCATTCCGGCCAAAAAGTTCAATTTTAACCTCATTGGTCCACAGAACTTGTTTCCAAAATGCATCAGGCTTGTCTATATGTTCATTTGCAAAGTTCAAACGATGATTTTTGTAGTGAGGACGTAGAAGAGGTTTTCTTCTGATGACTCTTCCATGAAGACCATGTTTGCACTGCCATTTCTTAATTACATTCCGAACAGAGGATATTGACATCTGAAAACGCTTTGCTATCTTCTTATAGCCTTCTCCAGCTTTGTGAGCATCAACTATTTTCAGTTTCAGTTTTCTAGACAACTGCTTAGAAGAACCCATGGTGCTGATTGTTGGGGCAAGGTCAGATAAGTCTGGGCATTTAAAACCTTTGAGATTGACATCACCTGGTCTTCCCAGACGATGATTGAGAACAATCCATGACACTGGCAGGTCTCAGCTTTGCAAAGAGGGCAGTGCATGCTATAAATTCTGCAGGGTGCCCAGACTTTTGCAGACGCCATTTTTTTGTTTTCTGTTATTTTGAAAGTGTAAATGATGGAAATAAAATCTAACTTTTGTTGACATATTATAAAAATGTCTAATCTGTAATTTGATGCCTTTTGGAGATTTTTCCATCTTTCCTTGGCTTCTTTATGCACATTAATACAAATTTTTAGCTGGGGTGCCCAAACGTTCGATCTCCACTGTATATGTTGAAGTTTAAATGTAGCTACTAACAGGGTTAATACATTTCTAGCATCAAATAAACATAGACATGTTAGTATTAATGCCATAGTATTAATGGCAGTGACTTTAGGTCCCTGAACTCCTACCTCCCTTTGGTTTAGTGAAAATTGGTAAAAGTTCAGGGACCTAGAGTCACTTAGGGGTGTGAAGGTCCACTTTAACCAATCTTTTCAAATGCATCGTCCCTTCAATTTCATACATGCATTAGCTATGTTTTCATTTGGGATTGATTTTCTAAAGGAGTAGAGAATGGTCACTTGTCTTAGTGGTCTTTATTTATTGACCATCAGTAATTTAAACCCAATCGGGTTGATCTACTAAAACTGGTGAGTGCAAAACCAATCAGCTTCCAGTTTTTTTTTTGTCAAAGCTTAATTGAACAAGCTGAAGTTAGAAGCTGATTTGCTACCATGCATAGCTGAACCAGAGTTTGAATTCTTCAGTTTTAGTAAATCAAGCCCCATGTGTATTAACCTGGCCAAACATTTTATATCCTGAATATAAAGTGTTTGCACATTCTCCGCACAACCTCTCTTAAGATTCATTTTACAGTCTTATTGTACAGTTTCTTTAGATCTAACAGGGGCTGTGTTAAAGGATTCAAATTGAATATGTTGTTTAGGACAGGTGGACTCTACCACCTACCACCAAATTGTAATGTGTATGGCCACCTTACCAATTAACGTGAATTGCAAAGGCCAACAACAAAGCAATTAGACCTTCATGCTTCATAGTTCTTGGTAAATCCAAAGTAGATCATATCATCAGATTGTAACCTTTGGCTGGCATTGGGTTTAATGTTCCTTTCACTGGATTTTTATGACCATCTGAAATGTATTTCATTGTCTGTTGTCCTTGTAATAACATTTCTGAAAGTTTGTTTGTTCATTTGTAACCCCATTGCATTTTAGAAACCCGTTTCCTCCTGGTGATCGTGTGACCTTTAATGGAAAGGAGTGCATATGCCAAAAATGTACCATCTCACCCACTGTCAGCAACAGTAATCTCTCCATCCAATCTCTCAGAAGTAAGTTACTTTTTCCGTTTTTCACACTTACATTATTGTGACATCAGCGTAATTAAACCCATTTCCCAAAACAGATACATTCAAGGTATGCCATGAATGATCATTGTCACTGTTTCTTTTGCTCTCAACTGAACTGACAAGCCATCAAATGGCTGCTGTCAAACGGATCACATGTGGAGCACCATGGCAACAGCAGATCAAACAGAGGCTAAGCTGTCAGGTTCCTTGGCTGTAAGGGTTAAGGTTTAGTTCTGCTCTAAGATTTCCCTTCCAAATTACTTGGGTAGATGCATGGCATACTGTAGAGATGACATCACCTAACATTGTCCACCTTAAACATAGCCATCCCTCGCTTTTTCCCTGTGTTTCTGTTACTCTGGAGGAGAAGACAGTCACAAGCACAGATTATTATTATTATACAGTATTTATAAAGCGCCAATAGTTTGCTCAGCGCTGTACATTACAAAGTGGGACAGAACATGTGACAGAACAATAACAATACAATGCAAAACATGAGGGGATTGAGGGCCCTGCTCTTTCGAGCTTACAATCTAGGAGGGAGGGGATAGTGGTGCAGGAGGAGAAAACTGTGGGGGATGGAGTGGTTGGAAGAGTGGAGGAGGTCGGCAGGTTAGCAGGGGGTGGGGTAGGCTTCCCTGAAGAGATGGGTTTTCAGGGTGCGCCTAAAGGAGAGGAGAATAGGTGATAATCTGATGGGTTGGGGCAGGGAGTTCCAGAGGATGGGTGACGCCCTGGAGAAGTCCTGGAGGCGGGCATGTGAGGAGGAGACCAGGGAACTAGAAAGAAGGAGGTCTTGTGAGGAGCGGAGTGTGCGTGCTGGGCGGTACTTGGATATTAGGTCAGTGATGTAGTACGGGGCAGTATGATGGACAGCTTTGTACGTCAGTGTTAGGATTTTGAATTTGATCCGTTGCGCAATCGGAAGCCAGTAGAGGGATTGGCAGAATGGGGGGTGGCGGAAACGGAGCGGTTGGAAAGGTGAATGAGTCTGGCAGCCATTTTCAGGATCAACTGAAGTGGGGATAGCCTGTGGCGAGGCAGGCCAGTGAGGAGGGAGTTGCAGTAGTCGAGTCGTGATATGATGAGGGAGTGGATGACCTGTTTAGTGGTTTCTGGGGTTAGGAACGTGCGTATTTTGGCGATGTTGCAGAGGTGGAGTCTGCATGAGTTTGTTAAAGATTGGACTTGGGGCTGGAAGAATAGGTTGGAGTCCAGAATGACACCAAGTACTCTGGCCTGCGGGGCGGGTTTGATGGTGGCGTTGTTGGATGTGACGGAGAAGTCAATGGGGGGTGGTGTCCGGGCTGGGGGGAAGACAGATGGACCTTAACTAGCCCTAACACATATTAATGTAATTCATCTCACTCCTATGTAAATGATATGTTAATGTAAGTTGTAGCACAAAATGTCCATTATATGTGTACGTTGCTTATGCTTACAATACAATTGTACTCCATGTTTACAATGATGTAAAACCTATGGACCATATGTGTAACATACTATTTATTTATTACAGGTACTTGTATAGCACCATCAATATACATATTGTACATTCACATCAATCCATGCCCTCAAGGAGCTTACAGTCTCACATGCATGCAGATACTAGGGCCTATTGACCTTCTAACATGTTTTTGGAGTATAGGAGGAAACCCACGCAGACACAGGGAGAACAAGCAAACTCCAGGCCCGTAGTGCCGTGGTTGGGATTCAGACTGATAACCCTAGTGCTGTTAGGCAGAAGTGCTAACTACTTAGCCACTGTGCTGCACTGACTTTATGTGTATTTAGGAGAATTTACTAGTGAAAGGAATTTTAAAGTGAAACTTCTCCTCAATCTTTTTTTTGGCCTTAAATAGACTGAAGAAGGGTAAGAATATCTGTTAGGGTTTTCTTATTCGCTTTTGTCACCAGTTGGGAATCACCTGTCTGGTCATCGGGACAAAAATTAAACATAATCTCCCCAGTGGGTACACATGCAATGAAAGCATGTATTTCACCAGGTGGGGAAAACTGAAAGTGGTTGTAAAGGTTCAAGGTTTTTATACCTTCATGCATTCTATGCATGAAAGTAAAAATCCTTCTGTGTGCAGCATCCTGCCAATACGTACCTGAGCCCCATCGTGTTCCAGTTATGTTCACGAGAGTGTCAGCTCTTCGGGGACTCTCTGTCATCAGTGGCTGAGACAGCAGTGGGAGCCATTTGCCATTGACCACACAGCCATTGAGCCAATGAGGAGAGAGAGGGGGTGGGACTGATCTGTGGCTCTGTGTGAATGGACATGCAGAGCAACGGCTCAGGAGCGGGCTTGCTTGGGTGACCCATAGCAAGCTGCTTGCTTTGGGGGTACTTGGCAAGAGGCAGGGGCCAGGAGTGCTTTGGGGGTACTTGGCAAGAGGCAGGGGCCAGGTGGTTCGAGAAGAGGAGGATCGGGGCTGCTCTGGGCAAAACTACTGCACAGAGCAGGTAAGTTTAACTTTTTTTTTTTAATTGCCTTTAATATCATTTGAAAGACTATAAGGCCACTCCAATGTATGTGGTGGATTGTCTATAAAACTCATATTAAAGTTTATTTGTGGAACAGGTATGGAAGGATATGAAGCTAGCAATTGACAGGTATGAAACAGAGAAGAATAGCAACAGAGATTTTCGAAATACTTCTAATAAAGTGCAGCTCTGGACAAATTTATGACCTAAAGGTACCCAACAAGAGTGATTTCATATTTTGCCTACATAATCTCCACTAGCTGCTCCTCATTTAAATTATGTACATATTTGTCCACTGCTCTGGCTTCTAGCTGTACCCACAAACATCCCTTTTCTAGATCCTAACATGAATTCTTGTTATTTTTGTGTGATTGCTAGGCAAGTTAAACCATGTCTTGGTTTCAAATAACTATTTGGGGCTGTGGCTATGGTGGAGAGATATCTACATCAGAAAAACCAGGTCTGTCCAACAGCAACAGACCAGCCTTTCTCAACCAGTGTTCCTGTAGATTCTAAAGGATGTTAGGGGTTCCTTTTAATAACTAGCCTCACATATACAGTATGTAACCACTGACAGCGGTCAGCAGGGGCCTTTTTAGCTATCTGTAAAAGGTACATTCTTTCAACTAACCTGCAATGTAAAGCGCATTCTTCCCACTTCCCACTAATGATCCTGTATTACTTTGCATTGTAATTGTACTGTCCGCCCTTACATTGTAAAGCGCTGCGTAAACTGTGTGCGCTATATAAATCCTGTATAATAATAATAATAGTAATGTGGACCTTCTCACACTGACCACCAATTTAAGGGGACTACCAGTGTAAGGGGGCACTTCATTAATCACCTGAGTAAGGAAGATTACAATTTTTACATTTTTTCTGGCATTTATTGTTGTACTTTTGTTTAATATTACTGAAAATATTGTATAGAGTGGGTGTCAGGTACGCAAAGTATACCACATTCCTTATTATATTTGAACTTACTGTTCATGCTAATGTACCGCAAGCTGCAGATATAGTAATTATTAGCACGGGTTCCCTGAGACCTGTGAGTAATTTCCAAATCCCTATTTCAAAACTTGAGAAAGGTTGTATACATACATTACAAATAATTGCCGAGTCCAGCTGAGAGATTTTCACCCTTGTTATGGTGTTGGCTTACAGGCTTCAACAACTGCTGAGAATTCTTATTTTTGGAGTTTCTAAGAAATATAAAAAGCCAGACAGTTATTTAGAGGAAGGATGCCCTATTAGCACAAATAGTATTCATTTGTTTCTTAAACCCATCATGATGATAGCTGCAAGATTCACACACTGCATTCACTTGCTAGAAGTGGGGAAAGAGCTGCAGGATTCACACACTGCATTCACTTGCTAGAAGTGGGCAAAGAGCTGCAGGATTCACACACTGCATTCACTTGCTAGAAGTGGGGAAAGAGCTGCAGGATTCACACACTGCATTCACTTACTAAAAGTGGGGAAAGAGTTTCAGTATTCACACACTGCATTCACTTGCTGGAAGTGGGAAAAGAGCTGCAGGATTCACACACTGCATTCACTTGCTAGAAGTGGGAAAAGAGCTGTAGGATTCACACACTGCATTCACTTGCTAGAAGTGGGCAAAGAGCTGCAGGATTCACACACTGCATTCACTTGCTAGAAGTGGGGACAAAGAGCTTAGCAGATTCACACACTGCATTCACTTGCTAGAAGTGGACAAAGAGCTGTAGGATTCACACACTGCATTCACTTGCTAGAAGTGGGGAAAGAGCTGCAGGATTCACACACTGCATTCACTTGCTAGTAGTGGGCAAAGAGCTGCAGGATTCACACACTGCATTCACTTGCTAGAAGTGGGGAAAGAGCTGCAGAATTCACACACTGCATTCACTTACTAAAAGTGGGGAAAGAGTTTCAGTATTCACACACTGCATTCACTTGCTGGAAGTGGGAAAAGAGCTGCAGGATTCACACACTGCATTCACTTGCTAGAAGTGGGAAAAGAGCTGTAGGATTCACACACTGCATTCGCTTGCTAGAAGTGGGCAAAGAGCTGCAGGATTCACACACTGCATTCACTTGCTAGAAGTGGGGAAAGAGCTGCAGGATTCACACACTGCATTCACTTGCTAGAAATGGGGAAAGAGTTGCAGGATTCACACACTGCATTCACTTACTAGAAGTGGAGAAAGAGCTGCAGGATTCACACACTGCATTCACTTACTAGAAGTGGAGAAAGAGTTGCAGGATTCACACACTGCATTCACTTGCTAGAAGTGGGAAAGAGTTGCAGGATTCACACACTGCATTCACTTACTAGAAGTGGAGAAAGAGCTTGCAGGATTCACACACTGCATTCACTTGCTGGAAGTGGGGAAAGAAGTCCTGTGAAATCTCCAAGTCACTCCAGTTGTAGCTCACACAGACCTGAGGACTCTCTTCTCTCCCCATGTCATAGCACTGGGCCTATCACCTGACCCAGCAGTGTCGG